ATGCACTATTTTTTCTTTAAGCTCATTTCAGATATATGTACTGCTCTGAACGATAAAAATTGTATAGTGTGCCAAACAAGATCGAAATAATGATTTATGAACCATCACAAATAAACAAATTAAAAAAAAAAAAAGCATTCATCCAGTAATATTTGACCTATTAAAGAAGTTGTTTGAAAATAATTACAAGGCAATTATTAAGAAACTTTCTTCTCCTTAACAGAATCATTGATTGAATCGATTCAAACTATTGCCTAAAATTGGCAATAAAACATTGCAATTTCTTCTATGTTAAATTTATGTCAAAACTATATCCATAACCTAAAATGTTCATTTAAGTGCATGACATCTAAAAATCTGAGTGAAAAGATTAATTTTACATCTGCTTCCATTAGTTGGATTAGGCTCAGTACATACATTATTTACAACTAAAAATGTTCCTCTGTTTGTGAGAATTACTGTCATGTACTGCAAGTTTGTCTCTTCTCTTCCTGGAAATAACAGGATCCAGTGATACAACCAGGCTGATCATAAAGTTATGCTTCTATATTTGTACCATATGCAGTCAACAGGATCAAATTATGTTATTTGTTATTTTAATCTATTATTAATTCATACCAGTCAAATAGGTAAACAACAACAACAACAACAAACATTTACTTTATAGCTAATTTTTAAGCCTATCAAAATATTAAAGACTTCATTTTCTCCTGTGAGTCATTTTAAAATTCGCCAACTGTTGTGAAAATCTATAGTCCTGACTATCAAAAAAAAATTTACCACAATGAGTATGTAGAAAAACTTTACAATGCATCAGAATCAACCATAAACCCATTTGTCAGTTATTAAAGCAACAGATACGAGGAACATATTGATGTGTGATCTGTAAAACAGCTTTCAGCAGAAATGACTTACAGATGGAGACAGACGGACTACAGACAAAATGTGATCAGAAAAGCTCACTTGAGCCTTCGGCTCAGGTGAGCTAAAAAGGGAACAATATTAAGCTTATATTTAGAATGTAATGATAGCATCAATACATCTGATCATCTACTAGTCAGGAGCAAACACTATACTTAAAGTTTGATCTTTATTAGACCTCATTATCATTAGGAGTATTACCAGTTCTCAAGATATTGAGTGGTCATTATTTTTCTATGTCCAGTTTGACCCTTGACCTTACAAGCAATAGAAGTCATCTACTCCTTAAATTAAGAAACTAATCCACCAAGTTTGATGTCTGTAAAGTAAAGGGTTTTCAAAAAACTGAGTGATCAATATCTCCCTGTGTCTAGTTTGACCCACAACCTTTGACCTTATGACTTCAAAACCAACAGGAGTCATTTACTCTTTACGAAGAACAAATGTACCAAGTTTGACGTCTGTCAAGCAAATGGTTCTCAAGATATTGAATAGACAATATCTTCGTATATCTAGAATAGTTTGATCCTAGACCTTGTGACCTCAAAATCAATAGTGGTCATCTACTTTTCAGGGGGAACTTAAGTAGCTGCATTTCATTTCCAGAATTTTTTAAAAAATATTGAACTTTTCATTTCCGACATTTTGTAGTTTTCATTTCCAACATTTTAAAGTTTTCATCTCTGACATTTATCAAATAGTACATTTAGAATAAATCATTGATATCCAATTAATAAGTTTTGCTTAGCTTTTAAAGAAACAAATGAAGATTTAATACCATGGAGCACATGTAAGGTTGTGAACTTTCACTCATCTCCTTTACTTTTAACTCAATTTGATGCTGTATTTAGATGCAGTGTATTGTAATATTCTTATTCAGAAAATGTGCTTTAAAAAAAGTAATATTCACATGTATATCCTGTTAAAATTCTATTTCCACCTATATCAGTTAACATTAAATTGTCTGAAAGATATCCTCCAAATATTTAGGAAATGTACCAGTAAAAAAAAAATTAATGTCGGAAATGAAAATGAAAAATGTCGGAAATGAAAGCAAAAAATGTCAGAAATGCAATGCAAAATTCTGGAAATAGAATGCAGCGGTACTAGTGTACCAAGTTTGATGTCAGTCAAGCAAAGGATTCTCAAGAGCAGATAACATTTGGTCTACCAACACACTGACCAACAGGTGCAAAGCAATATACCCCGTTTTTCAAGTGGGGATATAAAAATAAAGGTATATTGTTTGATGATTCAAGTGTAATGTAACATCTAAACTATGTATGTTTAATTATTTATATATTCAATGCTTTTGAGTAATATTAAATTGGTGCTTATATTTATTTATGCACCATTTATTCTTTAAACTCATTTCAGATATATGTACTGCTCTGAATGAGAAAAATTGTGTAGTGTGCCAAACAAGATCGAAATAATGATTTATGAACCATCACAAATAAACAAATTAAAAAAAAAGCATTCATCCAGTAATATTTGACCTATTAAAGAAGTTGTTTGAAAATAATTACAAGGCAATTATTAAGAAACTTTCTTCTCCTTAACAGAATCATTTTGATTGAATCAATTCAAACTATTGCCTAAAAATGGCAATAAAACATTGCAATTTCTTCTATGTTAAATTTATGTCAAAACTATATCCATAAATAACCTAAAATGTTCATTTAAGTGCATGACATCTAAAAATCTGAATGAAAAGATTAATTTTACATCTGCTTCCATTAGTTGCATTAGGCTCAGTACATACATTATTTACAACTAAAAATGTTCCTCTGTTTGTGAGAATTACTGTCATGTACTGCAAGTTTGTCTCTTCTCTTCCTGGAAATAACAGGATCCAGTGATACAACCAGGCTGATCATAAAGTTATGTTTCTATATTTGTACCATATGCAGTCAACAGGATCAAATTATGTTATTTGTTATTTTAATCTTTTATTAATTCATACCAGTCAAATAGGTAAACAACAACAACAACAACAAACATTTACTTTATAGCTAATTTTTAAGCCTATCAAAACATTAAAGACTTCATTTTCTCCTGTGAGTCATTTTAAAATTTGCCAACTGTTGTGAAAATCTATAGTCCTGACTATCAAAAAAAAATTACCACATTGAGTATGTAGAAAAACTTTACATTATGCATCAGAATCAACCATAAACCCATTTGTCAGTTATTAAAGCAACAGATACGAGGAACATATTGATGTGTGATCTGTAAAACAGCTTTCAGCAGAAATGACAGGGATGAGCAATTTTGAGTTGTTACATCTGACAAGTTAATACATTTTAAAACTACAGGCAATGAAAATTGCTTCCCTATAAGCCTGAATTCATTATATAGGTGTGTTCCCTGTAACCGTTTTACTGTACATGTACCATTTCTGGTTTTACAATCTTTAATAAATATCGTTTATTATTAATTACTAGTACCATATTTTCAAGTTATCTGACATTTTTATCGTACATTACAAGTTCCTCATGTTCTTCGTACACCCTCATGCATCCTCAACTGCAAATGAATTAAATTTTGACAGATTAGCTTAAATTGTTTAAAAGGGCAATCTAAATTTTAATAACAAAAACTAATTTTTTTAAAATGTGTAAAGGTTTGGACCGTTGATATTGACTTAGATAGCTCAGTAGTTAGAGCACCTGACTAGTGATGCAGGGGTCCTGGGTTCTATTCCCAGGTCTAGCCATACAATTTCTCCTTTTCCTGTTACATAATTTGGTGCCATTGACCACCCTGGACTTGCAGGTAAAAGTCTTGCCAGGGGCATATAGAACTTAGGTTGGGTCTTCGAGGGCAAAGACAATTTAAGGAGAAAGTAATGTAATGGTTTGGGCCATGGATATCGGCCTGGGTAGCTCAGTGTTTTGAACACCTGACTAGTAATGCAGGGGTCCCGAGTTCAATTACAAGTCCAGCCATATATTTTCCCCTCTACTGTTACATAATTTGGTGCTTTTGAGCACCCCTGGACTTGCAGGTGAAAGTCCTGTCAAGTGCCTATAGAACTTGGGTTATGTCTTTGAGGGAAAGAGAATTTAAGGAAGAAGGAATGTAATGGTTACAGCAATGGATATCTGCCTAGATGGTTCAGTGATTAGAGCACCTGACTAGTGTTTTGGCCGGGGGTCTTGGGCTTGATTCCAGGTCCAGCTATACATTTCCTCCTTTTCCTGTTACATAATTTGGGTGCTGTTGACCAACCCTGGATTTGCACGTGAAATTCCTGCAAGGGGCTAAAAGAACTTGGGTTGTGTCATTGAGGGTGAAAACAATTTAAGGAGGGAGGAATGTAATGGTTTGGGCCATGAATATCGGCCTGGATAGCTGATAGAGTTGGTAGTTGGTAGAGTGCCTGACTAGTGATGCAGAGGTCCTGGGTTCAATTCCTTTTCTGCTACACAGTTTACAATTCATTTAATAAGCCCTCATTGATATTTTTTCCCTACACCATCATCAAACAATGTGTATAAACAATCTGATAATTTTGCATTAACATATATTTTTTGCAGTCTTATCAATTGCTATAGACTGATTTTTGGGAATTTATAAAAACTGTGCAATGTAAAAAGTACAATTTAGCACTTACATTATGTATAATCACATTTTCGGCCCTAATACATAATTTATGTACATTATTTTACCATTGAATACTGATTTTATTTACCAGTAAATCTATTCTGACAACCAGTTTATTATTGTGACATCTCATTACATCATTGTGACATCACCAACATGTTTTTTCTAAAACGTTTTACAAAACCACTCAAGAGTTAAAAAGTATAAATGTACATACATAAGGGAAACAGGTGTGGGATGTCATATCTGTGTTAATAAAATTTTGCTGAATTTAGAACAAGGCACATGGGAACTTCAATCAAAAGCATCATAACAAGGATGTATATACTAAGTATAGTATATAGTACATACATTCTTGATCATATGAAAATATACTTAAATATTTCACTTTCAAAAAAGTTTATGTGGGAGTAATTATGCATAAATTATGTTATTTGAATAAATACTTTACTTAAATGATACTTGAAAATTACTAGTAAATTGTATCTAGTATGTGCTTTTGAACTTTGATTTGTAAAACTGGGTTAGATATGTAGGATGAAAGAATGCAAAAAAAAAAATCAATCAATCAATTTTACATCCAAATAGTCATTCAATTTTATTACGGTAAACAAAAAATATATAATATTGAAGGCCAGGTATATTCCCATACATTTGGCCCAAACATAAAATTGGTTTACTATTGCACATAACTGTAACAGTTTCTCAAAGCACTGATGATTCACTGGTCCCACAGAAATCTTGAGAATAGAAAATTTACTTATCACCTGCTGTAAAATCAAATATTTTTATGGGGTCAAATTTTGAGGTTTGGGGGAAAAAATTTGATTCATGGAGATTTGATTTTGTAGTTGGAGAAGTGTAGAATTGTTATATCATTGAAATTTTACATTTCGTGGAGGACATGGATTTATGGGACTCTTAAAAACAACAAAAATTAAACCTCCATGAAATCAGTGATTTTCACAGTATACTGTAAATTTCCAGTATCCCTGTATGTATCTGAGATTTAAGTTTGAAAATGCAAATGAAAAAAATCTTTTTGAAATAAAAAAAAAAATTAATACTGCCAATGCCAGAATACATGATACCAATTTCTTTGCATATTTCTAAACATTTTGAATCCTGCTTCAACACTATTAATGTCATGCACATAAAAGTGCACAGGTTATTTCTTCCCCTTGGTTAACACCATTTTGCTGTATTTTCATAGTATTTGATTCAAAATTTATTTTCTGAGAGATCGGATTCTGGAATGTTAATTTTTATCACTTCAATTGAGTCAGTTCTCTGCAGGTGTGTCTTCTGTTTGCACATTTTCCTGTGGTCCTGGAAAAAAGTCCTTGGTGCTGAAAATTTCAGGGGGGTTGAAAACTGCCTTTTTGTCTGATTTTGAAACTGTTTTTTTCTGTGAAGAAAGAGTTAGATATAATTTACCCAATGGCATTCATGCATTATTAAATCAAAAAAATGTTAACTTACAACATGAAATCAATATAAAATTCTTTACATCAGGTCCTCAATATTTCTGCAAATATTATCTTTAAATACCAGAGATTTGCAGTATTTTTTTAAAACTCCTACACTCTGACTCAATGTTGATATTGTATTTACTGACATTCATGTATTAATAAAACACAAAAATATCAATTTCACAAAATGAATAAGGATTTTTGTTTACTTAAAGCCCTAAATATATTTTTGCAAATCATTTCTTTAAAAAAAAAATTGTTGTTGTTTGTTTGGTTGGTTAGATTTTTTTCCCCAATTCCTATTACTCACTGGTCCAACAAAGGAAGAAAGCATCTTCTTCAGACCACTTAGGGATCCCATTTCATCCTCTGCTTTGTTAACACACTCCTCTAGCACACTTACATTGGTTTTCACCATTCCCACAAAGGCCTGTAATGTTAACATAAACCTATAAATGGCATGATATTTTTAGGGACGTGACTTAGTGGGTATAAATACAAGTATAAAAATATGAAGAGCAGCTCTGAAATTAAACATTCATACAAATGACTTAATATTAGGATGTTTGACTAAGGGTAGATAACTTTCACAGTGCAAAAATCAATGTCCACATTAAATTTATGAGAGTTTTGGGTCCTATTTTTATTTTCCTGTCATATTCAATATACTGGTATGCATGATTTATTAACCCCTTTTCCAAATTAGCATAATTAATGCTTTGTAAACTGTTTGGCAGCCTCACACAGCATAAAATTAGGGAAAAAAATGACAATAATAATTAAATATGTTTATTTCATTCTGTATTCTATTATGTTACCTCTAATTTGTCAATTTTCTCAAATATTTCTTGCATCTGTGTACATTTTGTCTGTATTCTAGGTAGTGTTTCTGTTAAACATAGATTAGTATCTGCTCTAATCTGAAAAAAAAAGAACACTTTTAGAGGCTAAAAAGTATATACTAGAAAATTTAAATGAAGAAAAGAAGAAGGAAATAACAGACTAAAAGACCAATTCAAATTTTTTTCTCCTTCATTAATTAGATTATTTCTAAGGTGGATAAGATTTGATTTGTTTAAACTGGCTTAAAAAGTCTTTATGGTAGATTATAGATTTGCATACCATCAAAACCACCAAAAAGGATTACATTTCAATATCTGTAATTTTCTGATGAAAAGATCTATTGATTTTAGGGATGTCAACAAATATTCGAACATTCGAATATTCATTTGATGAGTTGATATTCGAATATGATTTTAAGATTCAAATATTCGGTGTTTTTCAGATTTCATAAAAAGTACTGTGATTAATAAATTCTGATTAGAACAGTGCTGGAATTATCCCTGTTTAATTTACTAGCGATTTCGATCACCCGATTTCTTTCACTACTTTCTTATCTTATAAATCTACTAAATTATTTTGTTTTGAGTAAGATTTTAAAGAATTATACAATAATGCTTTATGTATAATATGAATTGTACTTTCATAGATTTTATTAGTTAAATACGATCGGATCTAGAATCGAAGACAACAAAATGAAAACCTTCTTAGAATGTCTAAAAGACGTGAAGAGTATATACTTATCAAAATAAATTTAATTTATAATTGAATGACTGTCCGATAGAATTAGTCTGTATTAAATATTGTAAAGGGCTCAACTTCAGAATAAACGTGTAAATTACTAGATTATCTCGGGTTGTACATAATACTGAATTTTATATTCATTATCAGGAGATTAGTTAATAATATTACCTAGGGAAATTGTCTATGGAAAAATTTGTTTATATAAAACATTGTATCAAAGATTATAATCACATCTCTTATTAGGCTGATAATTGTAATTAATTACACGTATTGACATCTGAACAGTATATGACTTTCCTTTGGTAAGACAACTGGTTCCTCAGTTGGAGCTACTATAAATACACATGTATCATTTATTAAAATTATATTTTTTACATTTTAATCAATTATTTATTTCAAACATTGAAAAATATCGAATGGAATTCCTTATTGTACACCTACAGAAGTCTTCTTACAATTTACTTCCAACTTCCTACGCTAAACCTTTCATGAGAGTAGGATGATGTATATTTAAAATAAACCAGATTTTATTTATTTTATTGAATATTCGAATACTTTCATTGAATATTTGAATATGAATTATTGACAAAATTGACATCCCTACTTGATTTCTGATCAATTATATTACCATATCAACTAAACCACAGAATTCCTCTAGCTTTGTGAGCATTCCTTCTATATTCTCATTGAATTTTTCTTTCTGAAAAATAATATTCATACATAATCAGAAGGAAACTGACACTGTGCACATGCAATTTTGCCAACATGTTTACCGGTTTAATGAGCTATAGCACTGATTTAATAATTCTAATCTCTTAATGAACCAGTTGACAAGTATTATGGTTTCTGTTTTATATCTGTAAACCTTTCTTCTTATAAAAATTTAGTTAGATGCAAATAACATCCTATTAACTATAAATGTAATTTTATGTACAGCCATGAATTCTTTCTGGTAAAAGCAGTATTGTTGCAGATTGTATTGTGTCATTTTTCACCGGTCGAAGTTACCCACTGACTCCAAATTCATGCAGGGGTAACTCTGGCCAATATCTGTTCAGCTGATTTGCATATTAATTGTAAAAACTTAATATTTTAAAATAAACATGTACAAATAGTTGCAAAAAACAAATTTGATTAATGTCACGTCAGGGATAATCATTGATTAACTTTCTATACAGATATTGTCAAAAGTGATAATTTCTCTTAATAGCTAATACCCCGGTAAACACTCATTCATAATTTTTTTGGTGATAAAGTTTCTTCTTGGATATCATTATATTCCAGTAAGCAACTTACTTGGAAATAAAATCATTATCAACACATTAAAAATGCAGTTTGTTTTCTGCATGAAATAAATGTACGTACACAATAATCATGATAATAGGTTATAAACAAAACATTTTAAGAATCATGATCGGTCGAAATTAACCAGGTGGTCCAGATTACAACAACCTACCCTAAAGGCATTGCTACGCAAGGAGATAATTACGCAAAATCTTTCTAATCCCATATTTTTTGGGTAAATTACCCCCACGTGTTAATTTTCATGATTACAGTAGCAGAGATTTTAAAGGTGCTTAGACACAGATTTGAAGTTAATATTTACTCAAATTTTCTGTATAATTTCATGACTTATATGTTGCTATAGCATTTCATACGAAAATTTGAAAAAAATCTTATTTTATCTGGAAGTTATTGAAACTTCGAATTTCTGGACGCGTTTGATAGACACATCCTTGCACTTTCACACATTTTAACTTCATACCTATTACTTTAGAAAAGTAGCAATTTTGTTGTTTATTAATGAAAAATATTAAAACTATAAAGCAGAAATTTCACAGTAGAAATGTAGAAAGCAAATTCCTCTCACCAGTATTGTCAGTCCGTGCTCAGTGGTGTGTGCAGAGTTTAACAATTGAACACACCCGGTGAAACGTAAACATTAACAACAACAGAACTCGTGCCCTGTTTATAAAAACAGTTTACGTTTCACGGGTGTATTCAATTTGTTAAACTCTGTACACAACTACACAACACTGAGCACGGGCTGACAATTCTTAAGTGAGTGGGTTTTGCTTTCGCACATTTTTACTCTGAATTTTCTGGATTATAGATGTAGTATTATTCATTAATACACAATAAAATTGCTACTTTTCTTAAGTATTAAGGATAAAGTTAAAAATGTGAAAGTGCAAGGATGTGTTAATCAAACGCCTCCCAAAATTCGTAGTTTCAATAATTTCCAGATTAAATAAGTTTTTTATTTTATTTTCGTGTGAAATGCTATAGCAACATATTAGTTGTGAAATTATACAGAAAATTTGAGTAAATATTAACTTCAAATCTGTGTCTAATTAAGCACCTTTAAACCCTGCCTTCAAAAATACCTGGTCTGTGTACCCCTGTCAATCAAGTACATTATGATCCATCATTGGATGCTAGAACTTGATTAACATTTACTTACTAGTCCCTGTGTATACCCTGTACACCTTGTTTGGCACTCATGGCTACCTTCAACAGTTCAAATTAACTTTTAATCCTTTGATATTTACCGCACATGGTATACAGAAACTGTATTACTATGAAAATTTTTAGCATATCATATCATTCAATAGCACATAGGTACTTACTACTTAGATACATGTATTTATAATAATTATTCATAAACATCCAGTCTATACTTTTTCCCCAAAAACGTAATTTTCAAAGTGCCCCTCCCCCTTATAAGAAAGGAAAATAACAAGGAAATGTCTATTGTAATGTACCTCTTTGGCAGAGTCAAACTGAGTGTAATTGACATAATCAGTTGCAAGATCTTCAATAAAGTTATCAGGTGTTTTTTCTTGGGATTCGGGGCTGCTTTCTGTCTCTGAAGCAAGATTAGTGTCTTCTTCCATGACTGCTGACAAACATATACTTTATGTACCTCCTACCTCACAAGAGTGTCAAAAAAGAAAGACAACTCTTGCTCTTGTTCCACATAAATTTTACGGGCTTTTAAAAGTCAAAATAAAATATATATTTTATATTTTCTTTAACATGTCATTAAAACCTTAAAGACCAATTGGTATTTTCCATCTTTTCAGCTGCCATACATATATAGATAATATTTCAATATTTTGCATGTCATTGAAAGCAATTTCACAGTCTATATCAGATACTGCTGAATTATTAGTTTGTATCTTACATAGTAAAAGCAGACTGAGTAGAACCAATTTATATTATTCGTTAGGTCATCTTAAAAAAAAAGTGTTCGTTTGCCCTCGCCCGACCGATTAAAATTGACCAGATTTGAAACTTTTTTACCTCCAGGAAACAGAGTATTTTTTATTCATTCTGAAATTTTTCCACCCCATTATTAATTATTCTAACTTCATATTCGCAAGTTTTTCTTAAGGTTTTGCCAAAGGTCAACATGTTCAAAAATTTATTTTTTAATTACAAAATAGCTTCAAAACTATGTGGTTTATAAAGTTAAAACTTTTACAGATTATAAATATATCATTGATTAACAGATAGAAAGTATCACTTGATAACAAATACTTAAAAAAAATATTTTATCGAGAAAAGTTCTTTAAAAAAAAAATATGCATATATTTTTAAAAAATACACCTAATTAATTCCGTACTTTTAGTGAAAGCCATCACTGAAGAAACAATATATGTTTATCAATGAAGGGCAAGTTGGACTTTGATAACCTCTGGGAAGTTGTTTTCCCTGTTTATTTTGTCCAAATGTTAAGATTTGAAACCTAAAGTTCATTGCAAATAACGGATTTTATAGGGGTCTTGTCTTAGTTATACAGGTCATGCTTTCAATAACAGCCTTTCAGAGACCATTCACGTCCAACTTAATGCCCTTCATTGATAAACATATAATTATTATTTCTGCAATGATGGTTTTCACTAAAAGTACAGAATTAAGCAAGTGCATTTTTTTTTTAAAATATGCCAATTTTTTTTGAAATTTTTTCTCAAAAATTTTTTTTTTTAAAGTTTGTTTTAAAATGATACTTTCTATCTGTTAATCAATGATATATTTATAAACTGTAAAAGTTTTAACTTTATACCTCACATAGTTTTGGAGCTATTGTAAAAATAAATTTTTGGACATCTTGACCTTTGGCAAAACCTTAATAAAAATTTCCCACTACCTACCTACCCATGCATTTTTTTTTTATATCCTGAGTCAGGATAGGACATGAAAACATTTTTTTTAAAAGATGGCCTTAATTACAATGATAATTCCTAGCTGAATGTGTATCTGTAATTATTTTAGCGGGATATTTTGGTGTTTTTGGTGCAATCCTTTGTTTGTTATAAGAATATAATTCTAGATTAAATTGCCACAAATAGTTCATGTGATGTTCACATACATTTAAAAGTTTTGGACATGGATTAAATACTCATTCATTACCAACAATAAAATAAGTCATTATTTTGAAATTTTACTATACACTGACTGACATTAAACACATTTATAGCCCTTTAAAATATAACTATCCTTCTATATTACTGTAAGTTGTTGTATTATACACAGAGTCCTTCACAAGACAGCTAATTTGAGCCAAGTCCTGAATGGTTGCACTTTGGGTAACCTCTGCCTCGTTAGCAGCAATCTGGATAAGATTGGCCGGTACACCTGAACCCTGAATGTTTAACAGAACCGAACCAGGATCCCCCTCCTGTTGAAGTTGAATATCACTGGAGTTTAGGAGTACTCCTTGATTTTCTGTGAAATAAACTGCAGGTGCTGTTGCCTCCTTCTTCTCTTCTTTTTTCATAGGTAAAGGATCCACAGTGACTATATTCTGATCCTGCAGCTGTACTGTGCTACTGTTGGAAGGAGGGGGGAGGTGGAAGGTAATCATGTGAGTAGTAACTTGTCCGGAATTCTGAACAGGAGTCATGTGACTATCGGCTCCCTGGACAGAGGGTTCCTGAGAAATGGCATTCATGGCACAAGAGATCAGCTGTGTGATGTCTTGAGTTACAAGTCCTTCTCTCATCAGCCGCTGAAGGTCCTCCTCCCTTATGCTTCGCTCCCCTGATTCTGACATCTCCACATGCATCTGGATTTGATTACCTGGATTTTCTACATTGCCCCCAACAAAAACAGGTGCCTGCTCCCCAGCATTGACTATCTCTATATGTGGAACAGACTGGCTGATATTCTGAATTCTAGGCGCAAATGTAATGTTTTCAGGTTTCTTCTTCACTGAGGTAGTTGGGATGAGTCCATTTTTATGATCACGCACATGATCTAAGTACTTTTGTTCATTTACTGACTTGTATGTACAAAACTCACAGCAGAAGATTCCATGAGCACCAAAATGTTTGTTCTTCATGTGAGTCTTGAAGCAGATGGCCTGTATACAGGAATAGGGACAGTGGGGACACTTGTATGGCTTCTGTCCTGTGTGGCGCATCTTGTGGCGCCTCAGAGAGTTGTGGTCTATGGAGGCATAGTTGCAGACATCACACCTATAAATCAGGAAAATAGAGAAACATTCTTCATTCTGATACCAAGGAAATTGAAATTGTCAATAGATTTTTACCCACAGTAAACATGATTGAAAAATTCAACAAAATACTGGGTCCTTTTCATTACAATTATATAAAAAAAAAAAAACAGACAAAAAATAAGATCCTTCAAAACCTCATCTGAATTCATCTAAATGGAATACTTCTGGCCTCATTCTGGTGCACTTACTTGAATGGTTTTTCCTGAGTGTGAGTCCTCATGTGTAGTTCCAGCTGAGCCTTTCTGGCCGTGGTGTACTCACACACCGTACATGAGAAGGGCTTGTGGTTCCCATGCACCACCTGAAGGTGGACCTGTAGACATTTTTTGCTCACAAATTTGCGACTACAGATTTCACATTCTTGCTCACTGTACCTGGTGACATAGAAAATGAAGACAGATGCATTATTAAGGCTGTGCATTTCAGTGATAATTAATACTGTAGATCACCGAATTTTCGCTACAATTTATTTTCGCAAGATAGTTATACGTTATTTATAGCCAGACAAAATTTTCACGAATTCTGGTTATTATTAAACGATATCTTTTAGAGTAAAATTTTAAGTACAGACAGTTTTGTGTAATTAAGTGAAATAAAAGTTCTTTGAATAAAAAGTGATTTACAGCACATGTACATGTAAATAATTTATGAAATTATTAATCCTGATTATATGGTGGTGTGATAATAATGATTCAATATAATAATTAATTTTTCATCATTCTTTCTTTGGGAATTTTTTTTTTATATACCATTTGTCACTGTTTTTATTGTCACTATGCACCATCTGATGGTTTCTCATCTGCGCCAGTTGTCGAAAGTGCTTTCCACACGTATCACAAGAGTATGGCTTGTCTTTACTGTGTATTTCCTGGTGGACCTTCAATCGGCTAGCCGTATCAATTTTATAGTCACATTGATCACAGGTTAACAAGTCTGTGTCTATCTGATGGACTTTCCACAAGTGCAGACGTACCAGACGCCATCTGCTCTGTTGTTGCTGGCACTCGGGACACATGAAAACCTCTGGCTTATCTGTGTGACATTTCAGGTGAATTTCTAATGCTGCCTTGGTCAGGAATCTGGCATTACACCCCGTTTTTCCACATTTATTTTGGTAACTTGGGGCATGTTTTGGTTGCCTGGGTGTGTGTTCACTTTTATTAGAATCACTCATTCTCGTCTTTCCAAGGTAATAGTCATTCTTCAGTGCCTTGGGAGGACAAATTTTACCACGAGTACGACTGCCCTTACTGATGTATTGGGTCTCTGACTCAATGGTCCATTCTACGTCGGAATCATTCAAATCTGTTGCTTTCACCTCCTCAGATTCACTTTGGATGCATTTTTGATTCTTTCTCCGTGAAGTGGTCTCAACTTGAGTCCCCACGCTCACTTTTCCATCTTCAACTGTGACGTTATGTTCTTTATACATATGATCTTGACATTCTTCCATGCTGGTGAATCCAGTGTTACACTGACCGCAGAGGAACAACTCTTTTGTGATTGGCTCTGTACCTGTTGTGGATGTCCCTGTTTCAACAGTGATGAAGTTCTCAGTAGAATCTAACACTTCTAGTCCCTGAACGTTGTTCTTCATGACAACTGACTGAGCCATATTTTCAATGTTTCCATTTTCTAGAGATAATTCCACAATCTTGCCATCTATGTCAAAGGTTAATTTGTTACTTGTTTCATTAACAAAGTTTGCATCTTCTGCAGGATTTTCACTGTTTAAGATCTCAGTATTTTGCTGGTCAGCTTCAGTGATGTCTAGCCTGGTTTCTATGTTTTCTGCATCTATTTCATTCAGAATTCTACTAGTGGGTGCTTTTTCCTGGCTTTCAAGCTGGGCATCTTGGGAAATCACCATGACATTTGCCACTGTCCCGCAGCCAAGAGCATCTGGTGTTCCTGTATCTGAATTCTGAAATACAAAGTGATACTGTCAGCAATTGATAAGTGATACTGTCAGCAATTGATAAGTGATACTGTCAGCAATTGATAAGTGATACTGTCAACAATTGATAAAATCTTTTTTGAAAAAATGTCAATTTTCCCTTTAATCATAATGTTTTCCTAGCAACATATTTATGAAGCATTCACAGGTAGAGTTCTGGATGGGTGTGATCTATATTTTTTTCCTAGAGAGAAAGTCTAGCACTTCAGTAAGTTAAAATGACATGCACATACAAAATTGTGAAATTTAAATTTAATTGTTCACTTTTATGCTGTCTTTGCTGTGAACCCAAAGCCTTCCCTACCAAGTGGTTATACAAAGTTGGAGGAGGCTACTTTGCAGGTTTAATTAGAGAGAATCATACAACAAACTCCCGATAACCCTAATAAAGGTATATCTCCAACAATGTACACACACGGAAAAAGAGATAGGTATGGCTACCTAATTCAATAATCCCTGAAAATTAAAGATCTGTCTCATACAGGTAAATAGATAAATATGACCTGCCACCTTTCTATATTTCCCACGAAGAATCTCCAACTATGTTGTTCTGTGATCCTCTCTAATAATCTATCGTTTGAGACCTTCTTTTTGAGTGTTTTTTTTATAAGTGGTTGTGTAAATTGCTCAATTTCTCTGTATTACTGCATGTTCCTCTGCACGTTTATTGAAATTTTGTAATCATGTGTACCTCTCTACTTACCTGAGTAGATTGTGGGGGATCCTTTGCAGGGGTTGATGAGAGATGGTCTTGCTGGACATGGCAAGCCATATCTTTTACAGTCTGACATGTGTGACTACAAAATTTACAATGGTAGGTAGTGACAACCTCCATATAATCTCCCAGATTGACTTCAGTACCCTCCATCATCTACCACGCAGAGTCTTTTCAGATGAGGAAAAACCTTCAGGATAAAAATATGCATTGCATTAAATGGTGCTTATGGAATATGTGTAATGGTTTGGGTTTAGGATACCAGACTGGGTAATCAGTGGTTAGAGCACCTGACTAGCGATGCAGGGGTCTGGGTTTCATTCCCAGACAGCCATACATTTTCTCCTTTCATAATTTGTTGCTGTTGACCACCCCCTGGACTTGCAGGTGAAAAGCTTTCCTGCAAGGGCAATAATTTAAGAACTTAGGTTGTGTCTTTGAGGCTGAAGACAATTTAAGGAGAGGAATGTAATAGTTTGGGTTGTCAAATTGTGCGTATCAGCCGTGGTAGCTCAGTGGCTAGTTGCGAGCACCTGACTAGTGAGGCAGGGGTTCCGGATTTGATTTCCGGTCCAGCCATACATTTTCTCCTTATCCTATTACATATAATATAGTTAAGGTGCACCTGTGTGGTATTAACATCACACTAAATACAAACATAGACTGAAAATGAACCAGATTTTTTTATATTAATCATCATTACGTCTAGGCACTCCTGTTCCTGCCTAAATTTTATGTATTTATCCATTATTTCTATATATTTTTTTTAAGGAGACACATTTTCCTTATTGAAATTCGGTTCCCTTTATAAAGGAGAATGCAGTCATCATTATTTTCCTTTAACAAAAAATTGGCAAACTTTTGTCTAAATTTTTTCCATAATTTTTTTTAGAGTATTGTCCAGAATATACAGAAAAAGGTCAATCTAAAATTCAACAGTAAATGTTTATCAAAATCATTTTTATTCTAAATTGACTCTAAGTTCAATGCTTTTAAGTAAAAGTATCCCAAAATTCAATAAATGAATATTTACTTCAATAAAATTTTTTTAAAAAAAAAAACATACATATAATAATGTGGTGAAATTACACGTGGAACTATTTCACTAGGCACCGGTTTTTATTCTCTAAACAATAGAAATATATATTTCCTGTAAAGTTTTACCTGGGATACCTTTACAAAGATTCTAGTTATTTATCATATCTCTCGCATCTTTGTGTGTTGTACAACCAACATAGTTAATGAAAAAATAAACAGTTCAAATCCAGAAAAAACACGTTTGATTCTGGGATACACTGTACAAAGGTGAAGGTCATATCAACAACAATTTCATTGGTTAAACATTTGACTACGTCAGGTCTGCTCTAGTCCGAGCCCGAAGATATTATGAAGCACAGAGAAAAATATTCAAAACAAAATTATCTACTTTCCCTAATTTCAACCAAACAATCCATAATAATGACAATTTGTTAAAATCATTGATGAAAATCAGGTGTAAAAGGGTTCTTAAAATATTATCTTCATTTTTATGTCAAATATCTGATATTAGAAAGAATATTCTAGCTATAAATGAGTAACTACATTGTTATGAATCACGTAGTATCTGATGAGTACACTACATTATTTGCTACACCAATTGTTTGTATTCTAGTTGTGTTCTACTGTATTATTATACTTATTAATGTGTTCTGTATGGGCCTTTACCAATTACTGTAATTGTATTTGTGCCAATAAAATATTTGTATTTGTATTATAAAAAGATAAAATTGTCATTTTTGATTTATTTTTTTTTTTTATAGAGCAACAATTGTCAAACCAAAATTAAAAAAGGAAATAGCCTAAAATTCCACACAAAATAAAGAGAAAAAAACTTGCCCCCCCCCCCCAAATCAGGGACCTATATAAATATGAATGTCATCGACAGTTCCAACTTTCAGTGATGTAACATCTTATCTAGCAAAGGGTTTCTGATACGCTACTCTCCTCATAAACTTATGAGGAGAGTAGCGTATCAGAAACCCTTGGCTAGCGAAGATGGTGATGTAATGCCTACTTCCTGTTACATGTACCTGCACTCATAAGTGTCAAAATTATTATGCTGTATATTTTTTGCTTGACATACATTTTATTATATTATTATTATTGACATATTTTATCTTTTTATTTTTGCATTTTTCTCTAAAATTTCGCGTCTAATATTTCGATCTTTCCTATTAATTACACGCGGTTCTCGAATATTTTATCCATAGAATAAAATGCTTATTATATCTATCTGACTCTTCTTGACATGTAGTATTTAATATTTATTTCATGAATTGATTAACAGCAAATTTTAACAGTTTAAGCTTTACTTAAAGTGTCTTAATTATTTGCAAGTTGTAACCAAAAAAAAATATCATGCATTTAACGTCGATGTCGGTCTCTCATTTTCATTCAAAAGGAAAAAAATATAATATAACCTCTACTGCAATTTGTTCAGCAATCAAAATGTATTTTTCATGCGTTATAGGTATATTATCATGATAAAAACCTTATGATCTACATTTTTCGTTTTGTTAAAAATCCATTCCTCCTGACGAATTCAAAACGAGGCAGCCGCTCAAATTTGAAGATCGGAAAACGCAGAAGTATAAACATGGCTTTACATTATCACAACGATACAGATTAATTGGTCAATAAAATGGTAAGAGTGTTGCTATCGGAATTATTACACTTAAATCGTAAGTGTTAGTTTAATTGCACGCTTAGGAATGCTAAAAATAGTTCATTTGAATTTGTTTATCAGTGGAAAAAAATGAAGACAAGACCGGGATATTTGAAATATGATCGCATATGCCAGGATAGTGAGAACAGTATTAATGATTTGTAGTGATGAACTCTGTGTCCCTGTGATTTGTTTAAAATATTGCAGAAGTTTTACCATTACAACATTCTGCACTCTGCAGGACTTATTTATGGTGATGCACAAAGGAAAATAAAGAATATATATATAGTAAATGATTGTTTCCTTTTATATATCATATGATCGTTTCCTTTTAATTTAAATGCATGTGCATACTTTTCCTTGGGTATATTTCGGTCACCAAATGTTTTGTTTCAGGTTTAAAAGCAGTGAGGTTTACATGGTTTTAACTTTCTAACCAGTGGATTAGTTTTATACAATGGATCCTGGAAAAAAAGATGCATTGATTGCATGGGTAAGTCATCAGAAAAATCTCATTACAGTGTTTTAAATGAATGCGGGTGGTTACATCCCAATTACTTGTTTGACCCTCGTGGCTTCGACCAGAATCAATATTTGACCCAAGTGGTTCCGTTCTGAAGCAATTAATTAACAATTAATATTGCTTCGGAATGAAATTAATTAAGGCATTCAACAGTTTTACATTTTATTTTTTCGTCTACATTTTTTTATATCGACCACATATATTTTAATCATTTAAATAGTGTTGATTATTGTATGTAATTTAATTTGGAGAAACATACATTATTTAGACAGTGCATATGTGATCAGGGTGCTTTTGAAGAAGTATTTGATTAATTTTTATGGAAAACTGTTCAGATATAATTCATTAGTAAATCAAATTAATCAACATCCATGCTCCGCGATAGTAGAAAAAAATGTTGGGAAACTATCTGACAGTGACTGCATGTTGACTACACATATGGAAACAATGACCTATTGACATGTACATCTCTGAAGCCATACAATATACAGCTACCGAATATCCATTTGTGTACCCCTGTACTCAGGTATTGACATATATTAGAGTAGGTCGAAACCACTTAGGTTGCAACCACGCAGGTCAAACATGGACTCAGAATGTAACCACCGACACCATTTTATTAAACCTGTAGTTCATTGATGAGCATTTGCAAACATGTTACTGTAAAAGTATAATTTTCATTCTTTATGAGGATAAGCCATTCTTCTCACTTCTGTTAAAATATATATGGAGACTGTGTTTTTGGTCCAAACAAAATCAAAACATAAATCGTTGTGAATGTTTATGGAGTCTTTTCTTTAAAAAAGGAAGAAATTATTGTTAATTTTAAAATTGTTTTCCTTAGATTTAGATTAGATTTAGTCTGAAGTAATTTAAATCTACCTTGATAACTACAAAATCCAATAAATTTCATGTGCAATTCCTTTCAGCTTAATGCATTTTGTGAGGATAAGAATATTACTTGCATCAGTGATATTAGCTCTGGAAAAGAATTTATAGACTTCATTTCAAAACAGTAAGTATATTTGTTTTGAATAAAAATTATAGCAAATCACCGGTTGCCCATCATATATTGTAATTTTTGTGTGTGTTTCAGTTATTTTTAATAGTTATGCTCTACTTTGCTCTACTTTGTTGAGACTTTTAATTCTTTTATTTTCAGTGATTGTTCAAGGAACATTAATAATATACAATCAAAAGAAGCCAGTTTTGCTCTAATTAGAGAGACATTAGAAGGTAAATTAACACAGTGGAGGAGAGCTGAAGACTGAAATCTGACTAGAGAAATTATTCTTAATGTAAACCACTAAACAGGAGTTAACTAATGGGTTTTTATGCTCACAATGATTCCACAAAATTTATTTAAACTCTATAGATAGTTTTCGATAGGCATAAATTTAGCAAGAGTACCCATTGGCTGGCATATTGTAGGTCCAACTTGCAAATTTTCCTCTTTGAGCAACCAATTTTAAATTTGTATGGCAGAAATATAAGGGCAAAAATCCTTGAAATACCAAAAATTACGAATTAAAGGAAGCTAATTGTGGTAAGATAAATTTGTAAGAAAGAATCTTCACCCAGTTGTCCAGTATAAGTTTTAATTGGTTGAATAATGCAGGAAATCGGGCTTGTATACCTCCAATATATAACTCTTTCTAAAATTGTGTCTATTGAAAACTATTTATTAAATAGCAATATAAATAATTTAAAAGCGGTTTGAAACAGTGTCTGAAGTTCATAGTAAATATGCAAGAATGAAAAATGCAAATGGAAATTTGTAGTAAGATGTATGAATGGGAGAAAGAAAAGAAAGTGGAATGCACTTACATGTATATTATGTGAAATGTCCAAGATTTGAAGAATGTTTTTTTAGTGTGTTGTGCTAATATTATTTTAGACAAATCCTCATTATCCAACATGTACTGTATGTATTCTTTTTTAGGTATCTATGCTACTGACCTATCTCGGACTGGCTCAATTATTGACTTTTCAGCAATTTTTAACCTGAACACTGATCCAGAAATTCTAGAGTTTGAACTTGCCAAGGTAGTATGATGAAAAAAAGTGTTTTAAATGTTTTTTTATCTAATTTTTTTTTTTTTCGAGATGCATGTATTTTGCTGAGATTATATTCTTATAGGATACAGTAAAATAATTTTAATTTGTGGGGGTTAATGTTGTGGGGCAATCAAAATTCTGGTTCATGAGGATGTAATTTCATGGGTTGCTTGTGTATGAAGTGATTCATTGAGCAGAAACATTGACAAAGTTAGTGAACATCAGTCCCCCATGAACAGTGTTGGTTTCACAGTAAACACTGCAAGGTAGCTAACATACTACTTGTTCTAGGAAAAGTAAGCTCATGGAAATTGAAGATATTTAGCTGCCAAATAACATGTTATTATAGTTCTGATCATAAAAATATTTTTCATTTTTAAAAGAATACCGGTAAGTAAAAAAAATATATATTAAGAATTCATACTGTACTCAGAAAATGAGAACTTTAGATTCTGACCATTTTTATTTTTGTAAATAAATGTATTGATATCAGTATTGTTTATAATTGCAGATACTGCTGGCCCTAATTGGAGCCTACTTTCAGCCCACAAATGGAGATGTGGGAGTATTTGCTAAGATTGCCTTGACACTACCAGCAGACAAACAGGCCCATTTCCTACAGATGCTAGAGCATATACTCAGTAAAGACTTAGATGAGGAATTTGTGGCAGTTTTATCCAAAAAATTAGGTAATACTTTTGTCAAAGAATATGAATTGTATTGTCCTCTCTTAAAATGCAGGTTTTACTTCCAGATTTGGGAATTTTAAAAATCAAAAAAGTATACATGGTATAACATCAAAATTGCATAAAAAAGAAAATACTTCAGCTTTTATACTTTCTGAACATTGTTGTCACATTGGGTGCTTTTTTAATTGCATATGCATTTCCAAAAAAAAAAAAAGAAAGAAAGAAAACAAACAAACAAAAACTGTTTATTTGACTAGAAATGGGATTTCGTGATGCCAAAGTATTCAATTTTCAACAAATAATAATAATTGAACTCAAAATTTATAAGGACATTATACTTTTATTGATCTGGATAAAGAAAACTAAATCAGCAGAAAATTTGTAAAATCATCATTCAGTTAAATGAAAACATTACAGGTTCAGAAAACCTGTAGTGCCCCCCTCAATTTCTTTCCTTTGATAGATTCTGATCCAGATGGTGCTCTTTTCTTGAAACTAGTGACAAGCCATCCACGCCCACTAGAGACCTCAACACCCTTGCTGGAACAGTCATTCAACTTTGCCAGTAGATGCATCAATGGTATCATAATCCTTCATCTGTCATTCATCTAATCACAGTAGATTATTCCAGTGACCCTCTCATGTTGTTTTTGTATTAACATTTTTTCATAAAATTAGGGCTTTTTCATGCTTTTAGGAAGATAGTACAAAGTAATTACAATGGACAAATCACTGCAATTATCTTGTTCATTTCAAAAGTATTTGTTTTGAAATTGCACAAATTTTTTTTTGGGAGGATGGGGGGGGGGATATATACAGCTTTTTTTCTTACTTAGTTACTCACAGATTTGAAATATAGAATTTTCACCTGCAAATCTAGGGGAAGAACATGTCTACCATTGGAATATTAACATGTGTATAGCCAGATCTTTGCTAAAACACAGCATGAAAGAGCCTTGAATTATGTGTATTACCCTATTACTTTTAATTTTTTCATAAATTCCTTTGTTGACATTATGTAGACTCTCACAGGAAAATCAACAATGCTTTGATAAAATAAGTCAAGATAAAATCATTTGTTTGGTTTGAATAAGAAGAGATAAATCAACACTCTTCAGCTATAATTTGCCTAAGGTTGACATGGTATTTTTTGAAGATTTTTTTTTTTGTTTATTAGTGTTTTTTCAATGACTTTTATTTCTCTTTTCATGTTCTTCGTAGACAAATTAAAACAGTAGTGCATATAAAACATTATTTTATACATGATTTGTAGATAATTTTTTTTTTTACATGGATTGCCAGTAAGAGACTTTATCTCTTTTAAAATAGTATTTTTTTAAAATTGCATGCTTCTCAAAAAAAACAAAAACAGAAAAAACAAAAGATTAAATACAAATGCAGATTGCAAATGAATTCATATGAAATCTCTAGTGTTTAAATACTCGTATGTATGAATTGAAAAATAATTAAAAATAAATTCTGGTGTCATTTTAACCATAAATTAAAATGATTTTGCATAATATGGATATATATTATTTACATGTAAATATGTATATAAGTATGTTTTCATAACAACTATTCAATATGATGAAAAGTTTTAAGTTTTAAAATGTTAAAAATTAAAAAAAAACAAAAAACTGGGATCCATTTCATAATTACAGTATACACTGTATTGAAAAATTCCAGAAGTTATTGTAATTATTGAATAATAGCTTTCACTGAGTACTTCCATTTACATATAATTTTATTTATCACCATTGTCTGAGTAATTGTTAACACCTCACAGATGTGACTGCGTAAACAATTATAAGTGTAAATGTTTACACTGCAAGTCCTCAGGTGAGAAATTTACCTGTAGATGAGGTGTTGACAACTTAACACTCTCTTCAAATCATCTCATAGTCATTTAATTAGTGATGCTCCAAGCTAAATGGGCAGCATTTAACACTACAGCACCATCTTAACCTAACACATTGCATTTCTAATCCTCATCCTGTTCACATGTTTTATAATCACTTCCAAGAGCTTTAGAGAGAGAGAGAGAGATTAAAATTACATGAACATTACATGTTCTTCCATTCCAAGTCATTGTGGATTTTATCATTGCTTTAACTGGTTCAAGCAAAACGTGCAAGTTTGAATTCTTAGAGCATTTAGTGACATGACTTACATTGATCCTTTGAATGTTTATTTATATGGATTTCAATATGTGATATGTCAGGCTCCATGAGAGACAGTCCTGCCCCTCTCCATCAGCACAATACCAGCGTGGGTAACCTTTCTGTACTGGAGATCAATTCCCCTCTGCGTATGATGTCCCTCAATTCATCGCCTGCCCCCACCTCTTTTGGGGACCTCATGCAGTCACCTCAACTCATGCAGAAGGTAAGCAGTCTTTCATAAGAAAAAGCTTAAGTACATGAAACATAGAATTCTTATCTTTATCTATGTTTTTAACCATGTTTTTTGTCTTGCATTGCAAAATAAGCTAAGAGCATCAAGATTGATCCTAGTTACTTAATCTTATACAATGGATACTTTCAAGCAGAACATTTTTGATGTTAATCATTTTTAGTTGAATTGTGAAAATGTATTATATGCTGTAATTTTTATTCTTTTTCAGGCACAGCTTCGACAGAAGGACAGAGAAATCAAGAGACTAGAATTTAATCTCCGCAGTGAGCAGCACCTAAGATGTGAATTGGAAATGGACCTTAAAGAAAAATGTTCTACACTGGAACAAAAAGGTACAAAATATTTACACTTGAATTTAGTTGAGAAGTTTAATGTGAAGAGAATTATCAACAATAATTCATTATGAATGATATACAAAATGTGTAGAGAATAGTTCCAAGAAATTTAATTGAAAATTGATGACACATGTTCATTTAGAATTTGAAAATTAAAATTTTTTTTTTTAAATTGTGCATGTATTTTTAGAATTAAATATCAGGGAGCTTGAGGCTACCATAAAGGAACAGAGAAAACTCCGAGATGCTGTTGATGAGCTGCACCAAGTCAAGAATCTAAACGAAAAACTGAATCAAGATTTACAAAGGTGAGAACTGTGATTAAGATTTTATCTGCCATTTTATTTTATTTACACATTAATTTTATGACATTCTGTGAAAACAATATTACATGTTCATTTCTATCAATTATTCTTTTTAAAACAGTTGCAAGGCTAAAGTTACAGATTTTCAAGAACTGAAACAGCAGAAGGAGTACTTTGAAAAGCAGTATGAAGAAACTCTGGCCCAGTTTAATCAGATGGAAGAGGCTGTAAGTCCACCGAACAAAAACTTCTTTAATCAGTCATGTTACTGCAGGAAAGAAAATGCACACTTTTCTTCAGAGTGTAGTTTAAATTTATTTTTAAAAATATGTTAAAGAATTTAAATTTTACTCTGTTAATGTACATGTAGTTCATGTTCATTAAAAACTTTCACTTACATGTACACTGTAGTTTGCAAAATTCTGTGTTTTCAGATGCGAAGCCTGGAATCTCTGAAACAGAGTCACGAAAAACTCCGCGGTAAATGCCACAAACAGGAAGTAGAAATCTCTGTTCTACAGACTACTCTCCAACACAGGGCCGAGGAAATCGAGGCCCTCAAAGGGGAACTGTCTACTATGAACGAAGCCCGACAGTGTGCCATTCAGCAGTTCAGTGACATGAAGAAGGAAAAAGAAGAACTGGAGGAAATGTTTGCTGCAAATGGTAGGTTTTATTGAGAGATGATGTTCAGCATTAGCTCCAGGACCATGAAACATCTTAAAATCAAAATACATGAATGTATGTTGTGGTGAAATAATGTAGAAGTCAAACACTCCAAAATAAAAACATTATTCTGTATAATATATAATCAAAAGTGTTGATATTTGCAAATTTAAAGATTTAAGTTGACAGTGAATAAAAATGTTACTGACAGTTAAAAAGTTGACTTAAGTCTAAGTCTGTTTCATGAATCTGGGGCAAAAAAATAAATGTATTTAAAATGCTTCTTATGAAAGTTGCTTTGACGGTTTTTAGCAGTGATTGAAGTAGTAATTAAAAAAAGTCTGCATTGGAAAGTTGAATGCAAAAGGGCATAGCACATCCAATCTTTGACTCTGTAGGAATCTAAAGAATAAAATCTGTTTTTTTAATGAATTGACAGGAATGGGTGGAGGTATTGGAGAGAGTATGGGCGTGGTGACAGACATAAGGATAAGAGACTTAGAGGCAGAGTTATCTCAACTGAAATCCTCCTGGATTGACCCTGTAGTACATGATCAAGTCAGAAAGGATCTGCTAGAGATGACAGAAGCCAAGGAGACTTATCAGGTAAGAGAAAAAAATCTCTTTGATGTGAGTAACTGATAGTGCAGGCATGACAGAATGCTGCAGTTTTGAAATAAATGTACCTTTGTAACTGTGTGTTCTAGTAATTCACTCACTGAGATTTGGTAGTGGTGTCATAATAGGTTTTTCTATGTACCTGTTAGAAAAACTACAAAGTCAGTGTAATGTAGTCCTATAATTACATGTAGACAACAACTTTGAGAAAACATGAGTACTTTTATTCACTTATTTTTTTTTTAGACAAAGTTTTCAGAGGTTCACAAAGAACTGCTGGCAGTTCAGAGTGAATTGGACACCACAAAGTCCCAAGTCACTAGTCTTGAATCTCAGCTGTTGGAGAGTCGGCAGATCTCCCAGGGGCAGGAGGAAACCATCAAGTCCCAGGCCATGAAGCTCAGAGAACAACAGGAAACACTGACAGCGGTCAAATCGTCCGAGGAAAGTCTGCAGACTCTCAGTCATGACTTGGAGGAATCTATGACTACTCTAAAGAAAGAACTGGCCAGAAGTCAGGCAGAGTACAAGTTGCTGACAGAGGTAATACACTCATTTTTAATCTGAGTAGAACAAAAAATAGAGAAAAAGAAACTTGGCAAAGGGTGTGGTGTTTTTTTAATGATTTTTTTTTTATTATTATTATTTTCTCTTTTTTTTTCCTTTTGAATTTGTGTTCCATTGATAAAATTCATTCTGTTTTAGGAGTTTGAGAATGAAAAACAAATATATGAGAGCAGAAGGCAGACAATAACATCATCATATGACACGGTTCAGTCTGAAAAAAGGAGTCTGGAGCAAACATTCAGTAAAGAGAAAGCCTCACTGACAAGTCAGATAGAAGAACTTCAAGCCAGACTCAACTCACAAACTGAGCAGGCTCGTACCTCAGAGGAGACGTTGAAAACTAAACTTGCTGCAGCACAAAACACAGTGAAACAGACCGAAATTATTCTAGAGAATGAGCGATGGACTAAAGACAATTACATAAAGGCACTGAAAGAGGAAATGACACAGTTAAAAGAGGAAATTCAGCAGACTGAAGAAAAATTGAATTCTGAGATACAGGTGTTGTCCTCAAATTCCAGACAGAAAGAGGAGTCCGCTCAAAGGGAAATTGCACAAAGGGATCAAAGCATTGATGAACTGAGGCAGCAGTTGGAGATCTCAAGGCTACAGAGCAGAGAGCAACAAGATCAGTATCAAGAGGAAAAAGATCGCCTCACCCAAGATCTCGAACAAGTCCGCAATGAGAATGAGAGGCTGAAAACCGACTGTGCAAATTTCCAAGAGAAAATTGATAACATGAGCATGAAAGCCAAGTCTCAAGTAGAGGAACTTCAGAGCCAGATTTCATCTTGGCAAGATAAATATCAATGGAGTGTTCATGATAATCAGATGTCTGTGGAGCAGTTGAGTGAATGCAAAGCTAAACTAGAAGAAGAGGGTCAGGCATTGGAGTCCTGCAGAACTGAATTATCAGCAGAAAAGGAGAAAAATGTTCAACTCAGTAGCAGGATCAGTGGTCTTGAAAGTGAACATGAGACTCTACAAAAATCTTTGAGTTGTATGAATCTAGAAAATGAACAATATAAAAATGAAATTCTTGAACTGAAAGCTAGTTACCAAAATTTGGAATCCGATATGCAGAATACTGTGGATAGTTTGAAGAATGACATTTCCAATTTTTCTTCAAAGAACAAAAAGTTACAAAGTGAATTTGAAGATCTTCAAATTTCATCAATGGAGAAAGAACAAAAATTGAAGAAGGAATTAAATAGGTTAGAGCAGACAAGTAATGACCTGGAGAGTCGTTTACAACAAGAAATTAATTTCCACCAGGAACAACTCAGACAACATGAGGTAGCAAGTGAACAGAATCAGAAAATTAATATAGAAGTGGCAAGATTACAACAGCAGTTAAAGCATAGGGAGACAGAGCTTCAAACAGCAAGGGAGGAGGTACAGAGGAAACAAGACTTACTGGAGGAAAACAGTGGCCAGATGGCACTGGTCAAGAAGGTCGCAGAGGTCAAGCAAGCAGATAATGAAGAACTTCAGCAGAAAATCCAGCAACTGGAAAAGAAAATGAAAGAAATGAAAGAAAAAGAATGTGAGCTTAACAAAACACAGAACAGACTGAAGGCTGAGAGGGATCAGTTTGAAAAACATCTGCAAGACAAGGAGACTACTGTTGGACAACTCCACAGAGAAATTGATGCCCTTGAAGTTGAAAAGAACAAGCTGAATGGTTTGGTAGCCAACTTGAGGAGCAGCTTGGGAGATGTTCGTGGCCAAAGAGATGAACTGCAGACACAGGTAGATCAGCTAAGTGCCGAGAATGCCAAACAAATCAAAATTATCTCTGACCATGAAGAAGAAGCCCAGAGTTTACAGCAGAAGATAACAAGTTTACATGAAGAAGTTGATTCTTTAACCAACCAAACCATAACTAGTAAGGCTATCATCCAACAATCTGCCTCTGAATGTGAAAGACTGAAAGAAAAAAGCAGCAGACTGGAGGCCGAAATTCAGGATCTGTCATGTCGTTTGGATGATCAAACCCAACAAAGGGAGTCCCTCCACAGCAAAAATCAGGATCTAGAGGCTCAGATCATTAACCTTCACAATAGCCTGGGAACTGAGAAAGAAAGCTTACAGACAATTGTCGATGAGAAAGAGGAGGCCGAGAAAATGGTTGAGGCCATAACGGGGAAAATAAACAGTCTTCAAGCTGATCTCAGTTCCAACAGAGAAGAATTTAGAAAGGTGCTTGAAGAGAGAGACCAGTGTATTAAGCAACTGGAAGACAGTAATTCAAAACTTGGCAGTGAAAAAGTCATATCTCAAAGACTCCTTCAAGAAAAAAGTGATCTGGATAAAATAATACTGGATTTGAATGAAAATGCTAAACAACTTCAACATTCTTTGGAGCAGATGAGGTTGGAATACTCAAATACAACGAGTGCATTGGAAACCTTGACAGCTAAGAACAGTGATGTTGAAAATGAATTAAAATTGAAAGTTGAAGAATGTCAGGATTTCATAAAAGAAAAGGAGAGTTTATGTGGAATGATAGAGACATTAGAATCCTCTGTTAACCAGATGTCATCTCAACAGGAAGAAAATCGTAATCAATTTAGTGAAATGTGTGATAAATTCAGTGAAGCAACTAAGCAACTTGAATGCAAAGAAGAGGAGCTTGAGAAATTAAAATCAGAATATGAAAAGTCCATAGAGAAAAAGAATCAAGTCACAAATGAATATGAAGAGCAGATCAGGCTAACTTGTGAGGAACACCAGAAGAAGGTTTCATCTTTAAAAGAAGAAATTTCACAAGTGAATCAAAAGAGTGAAGAAAAATTAAAGAGTTTGATTGCTGACTATACAGCAAGCAATCACGAACTTAAAGAGGCTCGGCACAGGCACATGACAATGGAGAGGAAAATAGCAGAACTTGAGAAACTGTGTAATGTAGAAAGAGAGGCTAAGAAGGAAATGAAAGTCATGTTTGAGAAAACAGTGCAGGAACTGCAGGGAGATGTGGAGTTTCAAACAAGGAGGAACCAGGAGTTAGAGAATCAAGCTCACAAGAGACTAAAGGAAACGGAGTGTTACTGGAGAGCACAGCTGGAGCAGTTGGAGAGCGAGTATTCCAGAGCTTCTGAGGAGGTCAAAGAAAACTACAGCTCAGAAATCACAGAGAAACTGGAGCAGGTGACGAGTCGCTATGAGGCCATTGTGGCAGAGAAAGAGGGCATGTTAAGTAATCAAAGGCACATGTTCCAAGATAGGGTGACTCATCTGGAGGGTAGGGTTGCCCAGAGACAGAGGGAGCTAGAGGAAATGAGAGAGAAAAACAGAAAATTGGAGGATCTTCTTACTGAGGAACTGAACAGCCACAAGGAGCTGAAGACAATTACCAGTGAACTGAGGTCCAAAATTACAGAGAAAGACAATGCAATCAAGGAACGTAATACGGCTGTGGCTCAGTTACAGAGGACAGTGAATGAAAAGGAGGTGGAAATTGGCAATTCTCGTCAAAAGATCTCGGAACTCCAACAAGATGTTCAGTCCCTGCAGGATAAGATTCAGTGTCTATCGGAGGACATGGAAAATCAGACACATAACACTGGTGACTTACAGAAGGAATTGGATGTGTGTAAAGAACAGAGAGAGGCAGCCTTAGCAGAGGTCAACAGTTACAAACAACAGGTAGCATCTATTTTACGGAAACTTAATTGAACTTAATTAAACTTAATTATGTACTTCTTGTTATTGTATCTCAAACATAGAATTTTAATAACTTCTGCTTTCATGTATTAGCTTAATGCAGTAGAAGCTGAAAGAGATAGTCTACAGGAAGAAATTGAAGGATTCTCAGAAAAGGTAAGTTGGAGTGATGTTATCAAAAAAAATCTTGGCAGATTTTGAAAGTTGGTTCATTTCATTAATGACATGTCCTCTTTCCCAACAGTTTGAGAAATTCCAAGAAAACCTGGAATATAAGCTCAAGCAGGCAGAATTGCAGGTGCTGGAGACCAAAAACCAGAGGGAAAACGCTGAGTTGGGGTTAAAGGATGAGATCCAGAGTTGGCAGAAGAAGTTATTCGAAGAGGAAGAAGCCAAGCAGAGGGTACAGTAACATTTTAGGAACATTTTACTATTGCTAGATAATAATTGTACTCATGTTCAATACAGAGCTGTGTAGAATAAATAGAAATTTTAAATAAAGTGTCTGTTACCTCCTTCCATCATTGTATAACAAAAATCTCTCTCTAAAGTTGCTGTTATTGCCTTTGCAGCTGGAGAATGAACTGAAACAAGCTCAGACTGAGCATGAGAAAACCGAAAAAATGCTGGAGAGCTACAAAATTCACTATAGCAAGAAAAAAGAAATGCTAGAGTTCCAGAACAAGGAAGTAGAGCTTTACAAAAATATGAGTCGCGAGTTCCGACAGAAAGCAGAAAAACTCAGTTGCGATAATAAGGCACTGAAGGTATATACATGTATTTCATTTGCAGTATCCTTTGTAAAAATTGCAGTAGAATTTTTCAATATCAAAACTTAATAAGAATGTTAGATAGAATCTTATCTTAATGTTTTTGAGGATAATACATTTACATACTGGAATTTTACATTGTTTTCTTTTTTTCATAGAATACCGTGGATGAGATGAAGTCTGAAATAGCTTCATACAAATCTAAGGTGGAAAAGGCAGAGTACAATGTTTCTCCTTTACAAGAGGAGCTCCAAGCAGAATGTTTGAAGAACAAAGCTCTCAGTAAGTTTTAATAAAACATTGTTTTAAATAAGATTTTTTTTTCTCCTCTATAAATCCTAACCCCCCCCCCCCCCCCAAAAAAAAAAAATTAAAAATATAATACATGTGTATTCATTTTCTCTTTCATACATTTGATGTCAGAATGAAATTCCTTTTCAGACAATGAGATCCGAAGCCTTAAAGTTCAGTTAGACCATGCATCTAGACAGCTACGAGACATGAACAAGAATGGTAGTAAGGTTACAGAAAATGCCGAGTTATTCACCACTAACAAGGTTATTGACACAATCAAAATGCAAGGTAGGTTATTGTAAGTGTCAATGGAAGTTTTAACTTTCCATTAAAAAATTATTAAAAGATTTTAAAAAAATGTGTAATTTTTAAGCAAAGTAAGTTACAAGAAATTTATTAAATTTATTGTTTTTGTGGAATATTGATTTTTTTTTTTCAACAATACATTTTCAGACCATGAAATGGGACATGCCTTATTTGGACAGACTGAAACCAAAACAGTTTTGAAACCCCGAGAAGTCCTAGATTCCTTGGATGATTCTATCTTCATGGAGTCTCCGCCCAAACCAGAACATGTTAAAACAGTCAGCAATATAACCCTAAAGAGGTATACCATGACAAGTCACTTGGTTGACTCTCATTAAAAATTCTTTATAATTGCTAGGCTTCAATTTTATGCTCGCAGTTATTTGGTTGTATTGAGGTTTGTGAACTAAGGATTAGGAGCAAACAGGTGCTAGGAAGAAAGATGGGTACCAATGTACACCTAATTCAGTGCAAGATGTTTATACATGTACATGTATGTTTAAAATGTTCCTTATTCATTGAAACAATTCATAAACTGGAATGTGAAGGTGCAGATGATGATTTTTTTTTACCATACATCTTTCCAAGAGTGTGAACAGTTGTGTTAGAGATTAAATTTCTCAGAATAGGTTTAAAAAAAAATGATGTTTACCTCTTTTGTCCTTGCAGTGAAGCCATGGATGCCTTATCAGAGCGTCGGATGTCGCTGAGGAGTTATTCCAATCGTCTGTCAAGCTCGGATATGAACCAGAGTATGTACAGTACGAGCTCAGCGGCTTCCACTGCCAGTGTACCACGTAAGTACACACGAAAAACACCCTCAAGCTTACTCTGCATTATCAAACATTGTATACATAAAGACCATACACTTTCATCCAAACTACTAAATTAATTAAAGAACACTGATTTAATAACACTCATTTACATGTAATTCTAATCAGTAATGTTGAAATACTTGTAAATGTCCTTGAACGACATTTCTTTTTATTGTTTAAGTGCATTCCCAGACAGATTTTACAGAAAATGTGTTACTGTATACAGGAAAATTTTCGGCTCCGCTTTATTTTCGCCCATTCGCCCTAGACACAACTGGGCAAATTTAAGATGGTGCGAATTCATAAAAGACAGTATCACTTCTTAAACAGAACTGTGAGTGGGCGAATTTAAAACGGTGCAAAATTGTTTGCAAGTGTGAAAGGGTGAAAATAACATGGGGCGAAAATAACCCTGTATACAGTATGTCAGACATACATGTATAATATTGCATCTTCTTGCATGCAATCATTGATACCCCCCATTTATCTACATGTATACATATGAGGTGTTTCTTGTATTTTACATCTTGTAGGTGATATTGAGAAGGGTTTTCATGTTTGGTATTACAGGTGGAATGTTCCACTGCGAGGATGAACCAGAAGAGTTTGAGTGGAATCGCCTGACCGAGTTACAGCGGAGAAACACGCTATGTCTGCCTCACCTCAAAACCTCGTACCCAGTGGAGACCCAGCGAGTCAAGCCTAAAGAAATCAGTGATGATGCACTGCGCTACAGTCTGATGCCCAGTGGAAGTGGCAAGAAGCGAAAACAGGCACAGTCAAGTGATGAAGATGATTTGAAATCTATGCAGTTAAGAAGCAGTAAACAGGTACCTTTTCCTTTCTTTCTCACATTCAAGAATGTTTGAAAATTATTGACAAGTGGAATTACACATGTGAAGATTTATATTTGGATTTTGTTAGCTTTTTATGTCACTTTTTTGTAGAATTGAGTGTTTAATCATATTAAAAGATGCTGCCTTGGTGCAGGCATTCAAAATACATGTATACTGTCATATCTGCCCAGGTTTTTTTATACTCTTACTTTTTGATTTAATGAACATAATGTTGATGTTTTCTGAGGAAATGAAACAGAAGTGCTTAAAAAAACAGCATTTAAATTAAAATTTATTCCAGAAATTTTCTTGTTGCAGGAATTTAGTAAACAGATCTCAAAAAACCTTTTTCAGGCAAAACATGGCACTAGCCAGCAGAAATTAGGAGCTTTAACCCCCTCTAAACCAAACACTCCCAAGACACCATCTAGTTCTAAGAAGTCGAAGAAGACACCTGGCAAACTTCGGACGCCAAAACTCAGTATGAATAGAGAAAACTCATCATCCATCAAAAAGGTCAGTGTCGTTGACAAATGATTCATTTCTGTAATTTGTACAGAAAATTGGGCAAAAAGAAAAAAAATGACATGCATTTATCAAAATTGCATCCCTTAATTTACGTGTAGTTTATTGTCTGATCTTTTTACAAGTTTCTAATTCCATGATGTATTTTCAGTCAAGACTTGGAGGATTGAAATTCAGCATAGGTTTTACGCCCAAGGACAAAAGCAAAGAAAATGCCAGGAGCACATCTAAGGTGGGTAATCTTGTTAAATTATTTGAGTTGCGAGGATCACAGTCGTCACAAAAAGAGTCCAAAATACCCACACCTGTCAAACACAAAAATCTCAAAACATCAACTGTTGTCAAATATTCAGAAGTGACTCCAGTGAAAAATGGTGATTCCAAAATACCAACTCCAGTGAGAAACAAAGACTCAGTTTTCACACCTGTAAAACATGGTGGCATTAAATATAAGTCACCATTGAAATTGAAAGGCAGTAAATTTCATACACCAATCAAATCCAAGCTCAGATCCCAGCTTGGATCTGCTGATCCAATCAAATTGGCTGTTACCCCAGTTAAGGTATTGGGGAGCCTTGTACAGAAAATCTCTACTCCCAAAAGATCAAACAGGGTCACACCAATGAAGGTCAATGAAAAGGAATGATGTTTGTACATTCAATAATGTATTTATTTCAAAATGGTCTGCTATTAGATTTGAGTATAATGTTCCAAAGAAATTCATGTGTAAAGGTTTGTTATTTTTATGTACTGTTAAATTGAACACTGGATTTCCTATATAGGATGGTGGTAGGCAAATACTGGGATTTATTTTCGCTTTTGTGTGTCACCTGTTTTCCTTATTGTAACAGTTAGAATTAGGGAGCCAGCGACTTTATCTCTGGTAGGTCTTATGTTAGACTCCAGATTGTGACACTTAATATTATTTTGCTAATCCTCAAGACTGATGAATGACATTTCATAAAGCAGGGCACAATTTTGTTCTCTGCATGTGTTAATCTGTACACCAAGATTTTCATCATAATAAATTACTTTAACACATGAGCAGGAATTATATAAACTTAGCAAAAATGGTCAGGAAGGTTTTTACAAAATGTTGATTAACAGTTTATGCACAAGTTTTCAGTTCTTGCCACATTCTAAACATTGTTTGTGCATGCATATTAATTGAAAATTTCTACTTAGGTTGCTAACATATAAATATGTTTAAAACAGTTTCAGTATTTAAAAAAAAAGTTTCAAGAACCAATTCATGGCAATGAAAATGAGCTAGCTATGCCAAATTAACTTTTCACTTGAAAGTATTTTTTGAATAATTAATTTATACTTGATTTCTTTTTTCTTCTTTTTCAGGCCGATAGAAAGCCCTTGAAAAGCAAAAATTGGTTTCAAATGGGACGTTAGCCAATTTCGAAGTAGCTGATCAATTTAATATCCTTGCAAGCCAGGGAAACCTTGCTTTCACTTTCATTCCTTAACACAGCTTTTCACCAGGAAAAATTTCTGTGATATTTATTCAAGGACATACATTCACTAAAAATCTGTGTTTTGAATTGTAAAGAAGAATAGTGGCATTGTTAAATTCTATTTTAAAAACTGATACTTTGTAATTATTCAGTTGAAAATGAAAGTTACAATTCTCTGTACAAAATGTAAATTACATGTATTTAGTTATGATTTTGCTTTATACTTTGTACATTGTTAGTATAAAATATGTATAAATCTTACTTTTCTCTTGTCCTGGATAAACTGTATGTTTGTATGATATGACAGTTCATTGTAACCTAGATTCTTCATAGAGTCGGGAAAGGTTGTGATGTTTTTTTTATATATGAATTTATGTGTCCTTTGTTTTACAGGTGTGTAAATGGAATCATGTTTTACTAGTCATGTAGATCTGTGTAGACATTATTTATTGTGTGTAATCATGTATGTTTGCTTAGTATCTCAGTGCTTATCTTACTTCAGGCACATGAAAAATGGCAGCAGTAAAGGAAGTAAAAATACATTGAAGTCTTTGTTTTTTGACAATTTTTTTTTTTTTGAATAGCAGATTATTTTCTTGGGGTGATAATTTTTATTACTAAATCCTGACCACCACCATTACATGTAGAATCATTGAGTTAATCTTCCCTTATTACCACCACCATTAGAATCATTGAGTTAACCTTCCCTTAGTAGAGGTAGCATTTAGATTTTCAAACATTACTGTATGAATATTAATGAGAACAGAAGTGTCACCCTCAGCCTCTATAATAACCAGCTATATGTTCAGTGTTGACAAGGTTTCATCACTTCAGTAAACTGTGATAATACACAAGTACATGTAAGTGAAGCAGCTTAGACACAGATTTGAAGCTCAAATTTTCTAAATACAGTTGAACTTTGGTATCTCGAACACCGATATCTCACATACCATGGATATGTCAAAGTGATTTAGAGGTCCCAACTACTATTTTACCCCGGATATCTCGAATCCTCAGATATCTCAAAGTTTTTCTCGGTCCAATCGAGTTCGAGATAACAAGGTTTGACTGTAATATCATGACTTATTTGTTGCTAGAGCATTTCTTAACGAAATATTTTAAAAGCATGTTAACGTAGGTTTCGGGTTTGCTGACGTCATTAAAACTTGGTACGCAATTTATATGTTTTGGGCGACTTTCTTGTGCACATTTGATTATGACGTCACGAAAAAGAATTTTCAGTATGTATCATTATCTAGCTATAACTTTTGTTGGAATTGGTATTTTATTATATTATTTAAGGCACAACTTATCACAAATAATGGAGGCTTTTTACAATTTGAATAGTCTATATCTACATCTACATAATACAGCGTTCCATCAAACCTGATGATTATACGCTGGCCCTGCGCAAACGGACCTCTGAATTTTAATTTAAAAAGTATAAATAAACTAAGTGCCATAGAAAGTATAAATAAACTAAGTGTTATGGAAAACAATTTACATTGTGCATGAAAAAGGTGTATATCTATATATATATTTACATTGTGCTCTAGTCGATACAATATTTAGATATAACTTTTTGTGGAAATGGTAGTTTAGTATAATATACTTTATAGAACAAACTGAAGTTATCAAATATAATGAAGGCTTATTACGATTCGAATCCAACACTGGAAGTATTAGAAAGCGTTTCATTATGTGTTATCAATCGCATCCCGGAGAGCTCGGAATTTTCGGCTTGTCGGAAAGGTCGATATATTTAAAAACGATATATTTAAAACAGCTTAAAGGGACAAAAGGGTTACATTATTGATAACATATAGTACATATTAGAATTCAAACATAAGAAAAAGGTGACTCGACCCCAGATGTAAAAATAAATAAAAACATTTTTTTTAAATATATACTGAAAACACAATGTATTTAGCCGGGACGATATTTGGCAGAAATTCTTTCATCAAGAAGTTTTCGGAGCTATGAGCGCATTGCTGAATGTGCTAAATAAAAAAAACATTTCATATGTATCCCTGAATAAGAGGATAACCGTTTTCCGCCAGCACGCTGAAAAAATACACAGCCAAATGTAGGATACTTATCTACGAAAAAGATAACAAAACAAAAAGAAAAGAAACGGTAAGAAAACAGCACATAAAGAAAATACATTGAAAGAAAGAAACTAAAGGAATGATTGTCGTTTTACGTCCCTTGAGATGATTTTCAATAATATGAGACGTACAAAGAATATTAGGAGAGAAACATGTCTAATAATCATTTCATTGCTATTGAATTATTATGATACGATTAAAAATATTTTAATTTGTTTTTCTGCTCTGTATACCAGATCGATATTCAAGACGTCAAGCGTGACGTAGCTCTTAAAATGCTAAATTTTGCGATATAAAAGGAATTATCTACATTTAAATTACGAGAAAACAAACCCGAAGACATATTAATTTTTTCACATAGATTTATTTCAAATCAATTCTAATTTAAGATACCAAAGGGGGAACAATTTCGTCTGCACCATTTAAAAGTTAATGATATTTTTTAAAAAAAATAAATCTTGCCTGAAAACGAGCCGAAATCGATGTTTCTCCTATATAATTCAATACAATAACGTCGAAAATGTTACTAAAACAATGGCATCTTTGGGATTTAATTACATAAAAACGATGCAGACGAATTTTATAAAATTTTCATAGAATGTAAAACAAAGGTAGAGGAATCATATACTAGTAACTAATTTTCATGGTATGTTTTCGGACACTTTTAAAAGGCCTGCAAACCCGCGACCTACGTTAAGAAAAGTCTTTTAACTGGATTTTCAGGACGTGTTTGATCGACACATATCCTTGCACTTTCACAAAGTAAGCTTTTGTACCCATGTTAAGAAAAGTAGAAATTTTGTTATTTAAGAGATGAATTCAATTTTTGCGAATTCATGAGGGCATAAACTACAACGCTTCATCAAAATGTTCATGTCGGCATATTTCATGAAGCGGCGTGAGGCGTAGTTCATGTGTCTCATGAATTCTCAAATATTAAATTCATAACTTACATTTACATTATTTTTCTAATGACTTGCCACATATTTTTGTCATCCAACGATCATTTTTGAAAAAAAAAGTTTGCACTATCTTTTTATTTCAATCACATCACAATGGAAATATTCTTACTCATCCCACGGTAGTTCATGAGAACATGAACTTTTTCTAATTTGCAAAGATTCTTAAGGAAAAATATTTGGAAATGTAAATATTGCACATTTGTAGCTTTCCCTGATGAAGTCAAGGAAACTTCAAATCTGTAAGCATATCTTGTTTAAGTTTCTGGAGCAGATTTGTTTCCAAATTTTGATCAAAGTTGTATGGATGATGCTTTTAGTATGTTTCATTGTACCAGTCAGGTTTCAGATGCTGCATTTTCAGCCAATATGAATGCTTTGCAGAAGAGTGACCAGGTTTATGTTTTTGGAACAAAGTTTTTGGAGCAGTATAATGTTTCAGTAGTAAGGCTCATTCGAAAATAACCATAAGCACTATGATGCCTAAACTTGCATGGATGATGCCTCTAGGGATGTTTTTGGATTTTAATAAATAAATTTTTAACCCATTATTTTATAATAATATGATATGGGGCAAAAAAAAAAATGCATAAACTAGTACCTGTCCTTGGAATGTTGGATCTGACCTACATTTTCTGGATGAGTGAACAGGTTTAAGTTAAGGAGTAGGTCCATTCCCAAGTACTATAAATCCTATCCAGACAAAAACAATACTGTAAACCAACTATTATTTGTGTCATCTAATTTATTTGTGATCCGTCAGTTTGAAATCAATCCGCAGCAATTAATAAATACAAAGCAAACTTAATGGTTCGTGGCAATTAATATTCGCAAATTAAAGTACGCCGCGAAACTCGCGGATATTTCTAGCACGCAAATAAAAGTTGGTTTACCCTACATGTATTGCATAGATGTTGCACTTCACTGGGATGCACACTATCAAAACATTTGTTTAGAGTGAAACTTCGCAACATTTATAGATGACATTTCTCAAGGAGAACTTTGTTATCTTTGATTACCTACATATGTGTTTAAACTTATAACTTTCAGACATAAAAACTTGTTGCTTTTGGATGACACTGGTTAAGTTTTGCAACTCAGTCCATCTACTTTGTCATAAAATATACAAGGTCAATATTGAACAAACAGCCATTTTATTTAAAATATTTTTGTGGTGAATTCAAATATTTCAACATGCTACCCATTAAATGACAAATAAATGTTTTAAAAAACAACACTCCAGAAATGGGATTCAATCTTCTTTAAGAGTATATACTGTGATTCTTGAAAACCTGAAAGAAAAAAAAAGATATATGTGAGGAACTACATGTACATGTATGTATCTGAAGCCTTGGTATAATATTCTTTCTTTTAAATTTAGAATTGTTACAAAGTTAAAAAAAATCAATTTCAGGAAAGAATACTTGGTACGAGATATCCCTCATGAGAATTGTAAGTGAGATTTAATTGAAACGCTACTGAAGAATAATTTTTGTTGGGGTATAATTTTCATTATCATCATGGTATGAAGATGAATTCCAGAGATTCATGTCCACCAGGAAATGTTAAAGTTTTCATACTACAATATCATGTAAATCTTTATAAAGTAATATTTTATCCTCAAACAACAAAAATTTGACTCCAAGAAAAGGTGATTTTACAGTATTAAACAAGAGGCCCATGGGCCACAATGCTCACCTGAATAGCTTTAGCCCTGCTGTTCTTCACCTGTCCCCCCCCCCCCCCCCCTGTAGTACCTATTGTGGCCCTGCCCTTTGAGCTCAGGTGAGCTAAAAAGGAACTATTAGCAATTTGAAATATCTTCATAATATTTAATTGTCTAATATGCATAGTTCCACATTTTTTTTCAATGTAACAAAAATTTGATACTTATAAAAAGACAATATTTACCTGGCTTTTAAACAATTTGACGACACAGAGTGGTGTAGATTGTTGACGTTTATGGCGGCTTATGTCTGGCACCTGAAACCTTTCTAAAGTAATTTCACCACCAGATGAATCCGAGGTAAACTCAACTTGCTACAAATAAATTTCAACATGTATCTCTTCAAGATCCTGAACACTGATTAAAAATGACCTTGGGTTAAGATGCTTATTTGCATCCTTGCCAAGTTGGGCATGTTTTTATAAAAAAATATAATTTTCACAAATCCTTCAACTCTTTATGCATGCACCCATACATACTGCAGATTCCTTATTTTACACGAGTACCTAATATTACGAAATGGCCCAAGGGCGTCAAAAATTAATTATGCGAATGGGTGATTTATCTAGATATTTTACATATATTAAAGCACCATAAAAATAAAAGTGTGTAATTTTACTTCGTGAGTGGTGCCTCTCCCGTAATTACGTAATAATTTATTCCTCATGTATATTTAGTAATCTGCAGTATATACATGTACTATCCTTACTTGAGCCAAGACAAGTTTAAAGTGTAAAATAGTATGCTCT